TCAGCGAGAAACTAGAAATATTAATTGTCAAGATAAAAGAATATATGTGGATAGGACTCGTGAATTTATTGGAGTTAGAAAAATAAACACTACGAAAAGTATTGGGTTATGTATTGGGTATGAATTCCTGTTACAAGCAGATATGTGCTTCAGAAGACTCATCTGTTGGAAGCTTTCTGGAACATACTGGACATAGATTGTAGGGGTGTCAAGACTTTACAGCGAGAAACTGGAAATATTAATTGTGAAGATGAAAGAATATACAGGGTGTCCCAAAAATGTTGTAACACCTTGAAAGGGGTGGTTCGGGAGGTGATTTGAAACAACTTTTTCCCTTTCGCTACAAACAACATTTTCGCTAAGGAAAAAGTTGTTTCAAATCACCTGCCGAACCACCCTTTTGAGAGTTGATAGAAAAATTCTCTTGTTAGCTTCATCACTTAAATAGGCATACAAAGCTTACCACCTTTGACAACAAAAATATTTCGTTCTACGTGTTACATTTCAATGTGCGAACCGCGATCAACATACTCGATGGTTCGTCATATAATTCACATTTTTCGAGATCTTTCTTAATATACGTTTGAAAATACTTCTTCTATCTCTTATAGTTTTCAAAACAGCGTTAGGAAGTTACATTACCTTTTATATGTCAGTAGAACAGCTAGACATATTAATTGCGAAGATGAAAGAATATATGTGGATAGGACTCGTGAATTTAATGAAGTTAGAAAACTAAATACTTCGAAAAATGTTGGGTTATGTAGTCTTTAATAGTTTCTAAACGAAATTTTAATCTCAGTGTTACATTATAATGCTAGTAATCAAAGCTTAAGAGGACCCAACACTTCAGGGGTTGTAGCATGCGAAGATGCAGCTATAGTACCAGCTTAGCGACCCTAAGGAACCGTAGCTAGAGAGTGCTACAATAACGTCGTGTTATGATAACGCGAACTAAGGCTTGGCTTATGACTGGGGAAGCACGAAATTAAGTTGTGTAAAACAAAATAATGGAAAGGACTGTAACGTATGGATTAATGTTATAGTCCATAAAACGACTTCTCACTTGAATAAAAAGGATAAAGCTTGAGAGAAGCCTTTGAACTCAGCAGCGAGGAATCTTCACCATCTAGCGACTCAATCAGCGACATACGACAGATTCCCAGTATTCTTTCTCAAAGCCACACAGGGCCACCACGTACGGTTGTGCAGCTGTCACAATAATTTGTGTACTTCTTATGCATTACAACTAAGGTGTAATGAATCATTCAATCACCGAGAGCTCAAACTGCTCGGGAGAGGTAAGAACCGAACCGGGGGTGAGCTAGCTTGTCCGGCTGCCAAAAGATTGTCTGGTAAATCGTTAATGCTTGAAAATAGTATGTAATATCGACAGTCTCGATTGTCGGTATTTTGGAAGTTATAATAGAGCTATATCTGAAATTGTAAGAAATCTTTGAATTTACTGCCATGCAGTGGTGAACTTAATTCATTTAACTTTGCCTGTTTCGGTAGCTTTCGGAGAAAGGCATTTTTCCAAATTAAAAATTATTAAGAACGTTATACAATGAGTCAAGAACGGTTAACTGATTTTTCAATTATATCTATTGGGAATGACATTGTACATACTATATATTAATTACTAATATTAAAGATTTAATTGAAAATTTCGTGGCAGCCAAAGCTCGGAGGGTTAATATTCGTAGGAATCTAATGACTTTAAAACGTATTACAGTTTGACAACGAATTATTTATTGTCTGACTTTTACAACTGTCTCGACCGAACTGAACTCCGAATTATTATAAATAACAAATCACACGCAACCATTGCATACACGGATACACTCATACACTTACCCTCATATTATATATATAACACTCCTACATATATAAATAATTATATAATGTATAATATACATTTGTTGTAAGTTACCAATCGTGTATCGTGGAAAAAGGCGCTAAATTTTTCTTGCCACACAGGCGCCTCTTACCCACGGTGGCGGTCCTGAAGCCTTAAGTCTATGAACATCAAGGATCCCCTGAAAAATTCCTAGCTTCTAATTCAGGATTTTCCCGCGAATTAGGGGCATTAGTCGCGATCTAGCGTCGGTAGACGAGCGTACCTGCGAATTAAAAGGGCGACGAAGGCTCCAAGCGCAGTAGTCGCGTCGCCAAGTGCTTCCTTCCCCTTTCACACGGTGCTTTTTGCTGGGCGTCGTCGACGCGGCGACGATTCGTTACACAGGCCGCTCGTACCTGTTCTCCCCCGTCGTTAAAAGGAATTTTAATCACATTCTTCGCGGCTGAAGTGACGATAAGAACGGTATTCAGGGCGCGGGACACGTCCGTGAGGTTACGCGTAGAGGGTAGCGCGACCACAATTGGCGGGGGCTGGGGATGAGAAAAGCCGCCGTCATTGTTACCGAACTGACGCCACTACCTGCGGACCTCTGCTCCCTTTTTTTCTTCTTTTTTTTATTTCCGTTTCTCTTATCGTCGTGGAGACTGATTGAGCCATCCAGTGGTTTCGAGGACGTTTCCATCTTGATTTGACTTCGAATCAATGTTGGCGAGTGATCTTAGGTTCTCGATTTTTTTGTTTATATACAGGGTGTTGAAAAAGGCAGTCAATATTCATATGGTATATAGGACACACCGTACCGAGTAAAAATGCTTTAGTAAACATAGGTCGAAAAGTCAATCGTTTCTAAGATATACGATGTCAAAAATGTTTAGTGTAGGAAATATCCGGGTAATCCATCCTTGCCAATCATACACTCGTTTACAAACATTCGATCTATCACGCTTCCGATTCGCGCTCTTCAAACATACTCCCATAGACACCTGATTACGCGCACCATCTTCGCGACTGGCGCGTAATTCGATCTCACATTAGTAAGCTACTATTTTTAAATTCTCTACGTGTGCTTTGCATATTGATAATTGTGATTGATAATTGTGATGTGGTCGAATTTGATACACCACGGGACTATGAAATACAATCACTCCCTCTGTGTCTGTGGAGGTCTGAATCAAATGATAGGCTTGATGTTTTCACACAAATTTTTCATTATAATTATATACACGAATAACCTTTACACATGTATATACTTAACATCAAACGTATCATTTGACTTGTGGCGACGATCAGCTGGCGCCACATCGTCTTCTTTGTGTTTAGATTTTGTAAGTGGTATGTCTGCACGGATGAACCGAGGTGCGTGCTGCGTGACTGCGATGAGTGACTATTTAGGTTATAGGTTCGAATGTCGTGTAAATGTTTCTTCGGTTGGTTCGAATGTTACTAACACATGACACATGAGAAACTTGTAAATATAATGTAATTAATAATATAAAATTGAAAAGGTATAAAAGAAAGCTGACGAAACACGCCCATACGTATGCACACGTACGACAGTTCTGACTGATTCTGACCAGTTCTGACTACTTACTAAAAGTCAGTAAACTCAGTTATTTATTAAAATGATCAGTTTCTACAGAAACAAAACTATTTCACTAAATACTTTCTCTATACTAAAAGTCCCAAGCTCTCGCACGCCGCTTGCCTCGAATAAACGAAAAACGCGTCACGATACCTTCCGAAGGCGCCTGAAAAACATCGAACACATCGGCCACTCGACCGATGCGTTCGCCGATTGAAACTATAACCTTCCTTTATATATTTACATTTAAGAAACAATTTATTAACGATTCCTTAAAGAATTTTCCCACAATTTTCTTTCCCACATAGTATTTGAAAATCAGAATTGACGATAACCAACCAACATGCGAAGTACGTGTAGAGAATTTTAAAATAGTAATTTACTAGACATTTTTGATATTAGGTACCTCAGTGGTGTTCCACATAGTTTAAATATATGGTCAGTCCCATAAGTATAATATTTGTTGGAAACTCAGGACCGACGATTATCGATATACGAAGCACGAGTAGAGAATTTTAAAATAGTAGCTTGCTAGACATTTTTGACATTAGGTACCTCAGTGATGTCCCGCATAGTGTTTAAAAATCAGAATCATCAATGATCAATACGGGAAGCACGCGTAAAGAATTTTCTTTGAAAAATTACTGGTCAGCTAAGTCATACTTGAACTATTTCTGATACAATATACTAGTAATAAAATTCAACCTTATCAGTATGTTGTAGATTTTATGCATTTACAATACAAATATATCCATTTATAATATAATATAATATAATAAACACATGCTATACACAACCAAAAGGTATGTGCACATATGCAAAACGAAATGACAATATTATATTAATCGTAGAATATATTCAACATACGCTATGTACACATATTTCTTATATGTTTTACATGTAATTGTAAGTCATAAATACATAAAATCTGCAATTTACTTATCAGAGTTGATAAATGAAGGTTCTCCAATCCGCAATATTTTCTGGGTACTGGATGCCGTTTGAACCGATGCTTTGACCATGTTCCCGATGTATACTCGAGCCCAGAAAGTTTCCTACGGTTTTTGTGAACAGACCAGAGGACGAATGGCGAAAGTTTGCACGCTGGAGCTGAGTCGTGACGCTATTACGCAAACTTCGGTAACATGTTGGTACCGTTAGGGAGGGAAAGTGGTTAATTAACGCTCGTAAATTGGATGGGAGGATCCGCGGGAAGCGTCTTACGCGAAACACTGTTAACGCGTTATCAGTCGTCCGAAGGGGATCGAGATTGTAATTGATTTGCAAATCTCAAGTAATAGGGGTGTCTGCCCTCGAAGCGAATCGATGCGAATCGCATCTTCGCAGTTATCGCGCCGCGGTATGTTCTTTTAACAATAGGGCCCAGACGGAGTCTTGCAATTAAGGGAATTACGTCTCGTCGACCTCCTCTGATGGTAAATTAATTAATGGTAAATGAAACAGGGATTTTACGGCGCGAATTCCATTTTAGAATAATTAAAGTTTTGTTTGCGGAAATTTTAAATATACAATTGTTTTCTTTTCTTTTTTTCGCAGGTTTCTTCAAGGAGCTCCTGGCAGCCAGCAAGAGGGGCTTTCACGAAATGTTTAAGAAAACCTATGGACTTCTATATGAACAGAACGCATACGTGTTCACGGATCTGTTTAAGGAACTAGAGAATTACTATGGCAAGGGGACGGTGAGTTATCTTCGATTTATTTCTTCCATTGATGCCGAGGGAAGATAAGAATAATTCACTTCTCTTGTTCAATAACTGTCGCGGGACTCTGACTTTGCGACACTTACACTAGTATACAAAATAAAAAAATAAAAATGTACATTGAATGCCACAATTTTTTTATTATGTATTTTGACCTACTGAACGCGAAAATCGCAAGAAAAAATTTTTCTATGGATAGGTGTTTTTTATATGAATTTTGGAATATTTTGTCGATCTTTTTCTGACATACCTTCACATTTTAGGCCATATATCGAGTTGAAAACGTCCGATTGAGTCGCTTAAGACGCCAGTTTAAAGGTAATCGAATTTGCAACAATTGCTTTTCGCATTATTTTCCAATCGATTCAATAGTTTAAGTGATACGAGCCAATATATATGAGAAACTTTGATTTTTTCGGCTAAAATAGAACACGAATATTTCTTCCATCGCCATGGAAGAATAGAAACTGTAAAATTATGTCCAATTTCTTATTGTTTACGTGTAGATCGCACTTTTACGAAGAAAACAAGCTTTTGTTGAAGAAAATCTATGAATAGATACCGGAGTTAGGAACAATTGAGTAAAGGTACAAAATTCCCAATTTTACTCTGTTTTTTTATTTTTTCCGTATTTATATAGGAAATATTTATTTAATTAATTTCGGTTAGAAATAATTTCGGCCTTTACTCTGTCTTCTGTTATTCGTTGGGTTCGTTTTTTTGATGAGGAACCAAATGTAATCTCCCAACATTCTTTCATCCCAAAATAGAATAGCAATATATATCCATACCCATTTTTGCATAATTTATTAGCAAATCTTCAACAACTTTCTTATAATTCATACTCTACCGAGCCAAAAGCCTTAAACTATTGAGCAGCGCTATCAAGCGCGATATTGGGATGAAAGAATGTTGGGAGACTACATTTGGTTCCTCATCAGAGAAATGAACCCAATGAATAACAAAAGACAAAGCAAACGGCGAAATTATTTCTAATCGAAATTAATTAAATAAATGTTTTCTACATATAGATAGGAAAAAAATACAAAAACAGAGTAAACATGGAATTTTTGTACCTTTACTCAATTGTTCCTAACTCCGGTAACTATTCATAGATTTTCTTTAACAAATGCTTGTTTTTTTCGTAAAAGTGCGATCTACACGTAAACAATAAGAAATTGGACATAATTTTACAGTTTCTATTCTTCCATGGCGATGGAAGAAATATTCGTGTTCTATTTTAGCCGAAAAAATCAAAGTTTCTCATATATATTGGCTCGTATCACTTAAACTATTGAATCGATTGGAAAATAATGCGAAAAGCAATTGTTGCAAATTCGATTACCTTTAAACTGGCGTCTTAAGCGACTCAATCGGACGTTTTCAACTCGATATATGGCCTAAAATGTGAAGGTATGTCAGAAAAAAATTGAAAAAATATTCCAAAATTCATATAAAAAACACCTATCCATAGAAAAATTTTTTCTTGCAATTTTCGAGTTTAGTAGGCCCAAATACATGAGAACAAAATTGTGGCATTGAATGTACATTTTTGCTGTAAACTAGTGTTATCAAAGATTCACGATATCTTGAAGAATATTCATTATGGGGTAGGTGTTCATTTAGGTTTGCCTTTAGTACTTTTATGAAACTAACAATCCAATATAAAATAAAGAGTATACCCTTCTTAACTTCCTTCTATTGCCACCTAAGAAACCGTCCAATTTAATTTACTTTTAAATCTATTCAATATTTTGATGTCACGTTCACCTATCAATTGCTAAGTACTTTTATACGCAGAAGTACAGAGATTGACCTTAGGCAGGAAGAAGCGAGCCTAGGATATTTTGTGGCCCTTTATCAGAAAACCCCGCGATCGTTGGTTGTCAAAAGCATTGATTAAACTCGCGTTCGCGCGTGACCTCCCCCTCTCGTCCCCGTCCCTATTACGAAGTCTCGTTGCTTGCGGTTAAACTCGGCTGGACGAGGGTCTGTCGTTCCGAAAGTTCGGCTTGGACAGGATAAAAGGGAAAGCCTGGGGACATGGCACGTAGGATAAATTCTCCAGCCTTTGAAAATCAAATCCCCGGTGCCCCTATCGATTTTATCACGCAATTTGATTCGCCGCGACTCTCTGACGATGCTCGATCGTCTTGCGGTAGGCTCCGGGTACAATCAAAGCCATTACAATATCAAAGGCTGATCTATCTAGAGACTAGAAAAAGGACACAGGAGGTTCAGTGCACTGTAAAACGTTTTTCCACCGAAGGATATCAAAATGTTGGATAGATTCTTAAAGTAAATTAAATTTCGAAGGCAATTATGTTAGGTTGGTATTCTCGAGTGTCTCTTCCAACAAAGGAGAATGGAGAATGGATGACCATTTTATACGAATTAGTGTTTAATACAATTAACACTTTCGCTGCGGACGAAAATAAGTAGCCGTTCGCTGGGAGTTGCAATTATGATATTTTTTTTAATTAAACATTTCTTACAAATGTTCTAATATGATTATTTTGAGAAACATATATTTATGGTAATTTATTTTATATATATATACCGGAAAGTTCTATCCGTTTTTAGGATAATACAAAATAATAAATTTCTCATACCTTGAATAAATTTTATTGAATAATATAATTTTTATCATTATTTATGAATCTTGCCAGGACGATTGCAACTTGTATATCGTTTTTAATGAATATGCGCGTACTTGTTAAAAACTTGTAACTGGAATGGACAGAACTTTCCGGTAGACCTAATATTGTAATATGATTGCCGAACAAAAAAAATGAAAACTGAAAAATAATACAAAAAGTGTTAATCATGCTTGTATTTGTAGCCTGCGTGTTACAAATATCATCTCAGTCCACGCACAAAAATCTGTTACTCGTACATTGTACATGTACTATGTACATTGAAATATTGGAGAAGAATTTGTTGCAGTTTATTCATTCGAAGAACCACGTTACTTGGACGTATCAACAAGATAATGCCCCAATACGCAAAAGTCGAGCAACACTAAGATGGTTTCAAACACTTAATAGAAATTTATTGAAGTGGCCAGCGTGCTTCCCGGATCAAAATCCGATGGAAAATGTATGGGGTATATGATGGTACGGCGTATTTATGCACACAACGAACAATTTTCGAGCATTTCGCAGTTAAAAGAAGGTGTACTAAAATCCTGGAATGAAATTAACGATGAAATTTGGAAAAACTAGTTGGGAGTATGCCAAGTCGCATTTTTGAGTTAATCGAGAAGAAAGGAGGTCCTATTTATTATTAAATCATTCCTTTTTATTCATTGAAATTATAATTTAATCGTTACATTATAATTTAATATTGTTATTATTAGACTGCGGATCTTTATGCATTTATAGAAAATTTGAATGTGCAACTAACTACAAAATGGAAAAAATATGCAAGAATATAAACAAGATCGAAAATAAAGTTCATATTATAATATTATAATATTTTCAGAATAAAATAAATTCCTATTTAGGTTCAATTTTTGTAGACACTTTCGTGAAGATTTTATTTTACATAAAGATCCGCAGTCTAGTTATTATGTTATAATTCCATTGGTGCTATAGTTGTGCACCCATGAAATATCTACAGTATTATTGTTAGTTGTCTTAAATAAATGTTATGTTCGCCGTTTTATCATTGCTATAATATATTTTTAGTCTCTATCACATGATACTATTAAAAATTAGAAATTATTAATTAAATCTACAAAACGGACGAAAATTGTAGCGGTGCTATAGTTATGCACCGTAGTGTATGTAAACTGATTTCGAGTATGAGATATTTCCGAAAATGTCGGTTTTCAGACATCAATTTCATGGACGAAAGTGGTTTGAAGGAAGCAGAGCTTTTAAGGTTTCGACTGTGATAACATTGGATGCGTTCTTGAGCAAGTGGAGCTTGGAAGACTTCATTTTGATTAACTTCAAAGGTGATCTTAGGGAAGTGGTGCTTTTAGAAGACTTCCTTGGCATTAACTTTGCCGGTGTTTTACGAGAAAAAAAGGCTTCGTTTTTGTTCAGAGTTGTACTCTTGCGGAGTTTCTCAGAGTCTGCGTTTCCTCTTCCTCCTCTTCGCGATTCCTCCTTTGTTAAGGAAAGTTCCACGCTACGTTTTCGGATACTTGACAAGTTTCGCATTTAGGATATTGAGGGGAAATCTCATTCGTTTCTTTGATAGATTTAGTTGAACTTCTGCGTCGACTATTTAACGTCTTCATTGTCTACTTTAATAAACTACTCGCCAAACAAAAGACAGAAATAGTACAGGATTTAGGAAAATCAGAAACACGTACATGGGTTAGTTTAGTTAGTTTATTACAAAAATAAGTGTGTTTAAATCCTGTGCTGTGGACTTTTTATCACTAAACAGAGACATACAAACACACAGGTCAATTCAATGTATTGCCATCAATTTGCAAACCTCCCTCAGGGTGTTTCGTGGGTGTAAAATAGATAGATTTTGGATAAGGTGACACTATCTAGTACTTTTAATGGGAACTGTATTATTTTCTAAAGCCTTTCGTCCTCGAGAGCGCTGACCATAGGTTCAACATTACTTTTAAATTGTTGTTTAAAGTTGTAGAAAAATTACAAATACACAAAATTAATATAATTAATTTTCCAAAAAGGTATTAAGATAAAACTTTGAAATGCAAAGAATTTTTCTTTGGATCGATTCTGAAACACCTTGCATGTATTAAATTTCTATTATTATCGCGATTAAAATGAAATTTGAATTCGAGACTCCCGTGGCAACCTGTGGCAGGATCCTGGAACAGAGACACAGGATCCAATGGGCCATTATTGTTCGCCATACGTGCTACGCCTGCCGAAACAAGAATAGCTCAATCGCTGCGTGACGACCGTGAAAACAAAAACGGGAAAAGAAGCGAAAAAAGAGCGACGGAAAGGCGGTGGGGGCACCGAGACGAGACATTTCGAGGGTCGATTGTCATTCAAATCGCCTCGAATTATTCACCGGCGCCACTTCGACCTGTTCAGGTTGGTCGCCGTGCAACCAGTGGTGCACATCCGTTTTCGTCAAACCAAGTAAAATATCGTGGGCCTTAGGAACAAACTTACTTCAAACATTAGACAATTAAGATTCATTTTTGATCGACAATTCATTTTTGATCAAAGTAAGAGGTTATCAAATTTATTTTCACAGTTATAAGTACTCCAAAGTGCGCAAAACTTATTTAAAAAAATATACATAATCAAAGGGATGACAAATTTATTTTAACAAATGTAGATTTGTACATATTAGGATTTGTCTTCTGCAAGTTTTTTAATCAAAATATGTACTTTATTTAAGACTCATGTTCCTAAATTAACGAGTAATCACACCTAACGCATATCATGAAGAAATTCTATAAATGGAGACTTTACATCACAATTTTGGTACTACCTCTACTACTATGTGCAAATACAAATTAAAGATAACCAGATTTCGAATTTTATACATTTATAAGACAAACTAACATAATGAATACATGCTAAACATAACCGAAAGGTATGCGCACGTACATATGAAGAATGAAATAATAATATTATTATATAAATTACAGAATATATTCAATATAAATTATGTACATTTCTGTGTGTTTCCTTCATAATTCTACGTCGTAAATGCATAAAATC